TGTGACATTGTAAAAGAGAGGAAATTCATATTTTAGATAAGTTTCAATACGTTTAAAATGTGTTTGAATACCAATTTACACAAAAGTTTGATTAAATACAAAACGAAAACAAAAGTTCCATTGCATATACAACAGACAAATTAAAGTTATTTAAGTGATTTTTGTTGTATTCAGTAGTAATAACAAAGAGTGCAAATTTGGCGATAAATATTTTAGCAGTTTTCTACAAAACTGCTAAAATAAGTCAAGTTAGCACTCCGCTAAAAATACATGCTATTACATTTATTACTACGTACACTAAAGGATTGTAATGATGCTCACTTTATTCATGAACATGTATTATGTTACTTTATTATTATTTAAAGATGCATTCAAATGTAAAGCTACTTGGAAATCTTAGTCTCAACTGAAATAAATAGCTGAATAATCTTTCTTGAGGTTCATGTTAATATTCTTTTTAAAATACATCTGTAAATGGCTTTCTTATTTGTATCAGGTGTCATTACCACAAGAGAAGAGACCCAGTACATATCAGCATCCCAGATACGACCCGAACAGTCTCCTGAACTGTCACCATGACCTCAGTCACATGTCAGATGACCCCGGTCACATGACAAATAGTCAGCAGTCAATGACTGTCCCAGGTATATCACTCTCTCTCCATCTCTCTTGCTATCTTAATAAAATATGTCCTTTCCGGATCTGTGTTACACTTTCTTTTCCTTTTTAAGCGGTTAGCTTCGCTAGCCGCTATATGGCATGTGTCGGCAACCGGAAACCTCCATAAGGCGCTACCTATCGACAACAGAAACTTCAACAAAGCCTCTACCAATGATTTGTTTCTAACACATATAACATATCAAAACAACATAATCTTTCGGTTTTTAATTTTTATCTGATTTTGTTTGTCAATGAAATAAATTTATTATTGCATTTTAAAATTTTATGTATAGGAGCATTTGGTGTCGAGATTAAATTTCCGTGACGTCAGCTGATGGCGATCGGGCCCTGTGACGAAATTTGAAGTCAGCATGAAGTTTAGCTGATAACATTATTAACGCGTTGGATTTAAACTTAAGGAAGAAATATATAGCGAGAAATATCATATTTGAACCCAATGCTACACGAAAACCAGTAGGCATATCCGATTTATGTGTTAAATTGAAGCCTGAATTGAACAGGGGGTCAAAATGGCGTTGCACACCTTGTGTATCTAAACTGTACATAGAGGGGTAGAATGTTTCGATATTTGGCTAATTTAGAGACTTACTGATAAAAATTCAGGTGCCTGTGATTAATTATAAGGCACCCCTTATGAACAATAAATATTTGATCGAATTATGCTACTGGCACAGAAAGGACGGGTTAATTACTGGCTTAAGGGGTTGAAGGTTATTACAGACTGCAAAACATCGGAGAATCTCTCGATCGAGTTTCATTTTCCTTGCCAAAATATTTAGCCATCCCTTTAATTAACTTAAGTAATACTAGTACATGAAGAAAGCTTTATATATGAAAAACTTGAATACATCTGCAGAGTTCTCCATCATTTGAAATTTTACTGTGTTGCGGAGTTTACGTGAAGCACTAAATTTTTGCGCTATTTTCGAGATCAAATTCGCAACTGAAATACTTTTCATTAAACTTATATAGGAACATATGCGCACACTTTTTAAAATAAATCACTATTTCGATGTACAAATATTTTCGTCATACATATTGATAAAAGTAAAAACACGTGCTATGAAAAGTAGGGGAAATTCTGATCGATACAATCAAACTAATTACCACTTTTGGAAGTAAGTTTGTTGTACTTTTTTGTCAGTTTTTTTTTTTATCAAATTACCGAATTGCAAAGGAAAAAGTAGGGAAACTTCAGGAAAGGATGATATTCTTACGAGTTCCTTAAAAATGTGTCGCATGCATAAAATTTTAATCGTTACTGTGTCGTAAAAATTTTGCTGTGTCGGGAGCAACACAGTAAAACAGCTCATGAATGGAGAACCCTGCATCTGTAAGCTGTACAGTTATAGATTACTTCTATAATGAAACGTTTGTTTTCTTCTCCTTTTTTTCTCAATTGAAATTATTTAAAAGATGATGAAAGCTTTGTTTCCAGGGATAAATTCTGTACTCAGTCTAATCATTACAAACGATTTTAAACGTCACATTATTTAAATATTTGCCAAATACTCAGTAAATGTTCGTTTATATATATCGTGCTTACAAGACTCTTTTTTGAATTATTGTCATGTACCATTTACTAATTCGAACATTTATTGTATTTAAAGTCAATAGTGTACATTTCTTAAAAAACTTTATTATCTTGTTTACTTGTCTTTCTTCCTGTGAGAGAAATAGTTCATAATATTAATAAACAGATGTACACAGTATCTGTATCAAAATACAGAATGAATAGTGATCGGCCTCAAATGAAAAACGGATCCTTGAAAGTTCCGGTGCCTAGGAGAAGAAAGCATCCCCAATAACAGGTCACACCTGCTGACCCGCAGTGAGACTACGAAATTGAAGCCCTCTGAAATTAAATTAATTTACAAATTCTCTGCTCGTCCATCCGTTTTTCTCAGACTAGCCAGCTAAAGATCTATGTACAGAACTCCAAATAAATTAATCTTAAGAATTTGAATTATCATTACCGTCTTCCTTGGAAGTTTTTTTTACAGTCGTCGGACTATGCACTTCCTCTCTTTTGTGATTGGTAGAAATTGCATGATGAGAAAATTTTCAATTATTTCATTGGTTGAAACGCTGTTCAAGGCAAGGGAGATAACTTTCTGATGATATATTTTTCGTACAATTCCAATCTTTAAAAAATGACAAAACGAACAACAAAATCAGCAGTAATTAATTCTTAATAACATAGCGTTTTTACAGTTTTATAGTGATAAAAGTGTTAATAGCGATAAATAAAAAGGTCTCTTAAATTTTATTATAAATAAAATTTGATAGTTATTGCTTGCAGGCTTTACAATTTGGTATTATTCTTTTCCCCTTTCTTGTTTGAAGAGTGAATGGGAATCAGCCGAGGTTTGCCGAAAGCTCTCGGCCAGTCAACGTTTACGGAGATGACCGAGCGACAACCGTGGTAGGGCTAATGCCCGTAAAAAGCTTATTTAGAAATACAAAATCAAGAAATTCAAAAGAAGTATAGATCTGTTTACTATTTAAAATTGTTGCTGAAGACGGTAAGCTTTTTTGAAAAGCTCTACTTGTTTTATTTTCTTTTTGAGTAGGCTTTACAGTTACATAATTTCAGAGTCAATAGAGCATGAAAGACAATTAAATTTGCAACATCAACATTTTTTTTCGTTCTGAGCACATTTAGACGCCACCAATGGAGACAATTAGGAAGAAATTTTTGAAATTGAACTTCCTGTCTTTCAAACTGAAAATCTCAGGTTGATATTTTGAAACATACATTTGTGACATCAGTCTGGGATGTTATTGGTTTTTCCATTTAGTTAAGTACTACAAAAGTCAGTGTGTCTGCTTCTTCGCTGATGACATTGGACAAAGATATTCATGCTTACTTTAATATCATCACTGAATGCATTTTTTGTTATTCTACACTGTACAGTCAAATTCCATGAAAGCATGCTAACCGCTTTTCAGTACTTTCAGTACTTTGATTTTTTTTTTTAAATCTGTCTTGATGATTTTAATTATTTATAAAAATGAATACTGTTTCCAGGAAATATTTGCCTGATTTTTATATTCACCCTTTTATCCAAATCCTCAGAAGAATTCTACGCAGACCACAGTGTCTCTCTTGCAGCAAATTTTAAATGGGGCAAAATTTTTTGTAAGTGTTATAACATGAATTTACCCTCTTTACAGCATTCTTAATATTTGTTTTAACTTAGATGTTTCCATGGTAACAAAGTCCTCCATGCTGTATGGTACCAATAACTCTGGTCTGATAGTAAGGGTGAAGGCCAGTCCACTTCTTACAGCTTTTGCTGACAAAGTAAGTCATTTCCAGGAGGAATATATAAAAAAAACATGCATGTGTTCTTCTGTTATATGATGTGATAAACTATTAAATCTGTGATATGCATGTGTTTCATTTCTATTTACACTGCTAGAAGGACAAGAAAAAAGCCACAAAGGGACAGAGGATAGCTGCAGCACTTGCTTCCTCCTTCTTAAGTCCATTTACAAAGGTACTTGGTTGCTAATTACCTGAGAATATTACCTGACATTTACAAAGGTACTTGGTTGCTAATTACACGAGAATGTAACCTGACATTTTTCCAAGATCAACTGGAAATTGACACCAAATTTAAAAGTATCACATGCTAAAGGGGGGGGGGGTGATTTATAGAAAGACAATATCAATGAATGAGCTCAAAGTATTTTAAGAAATTAAAGGTTTTATACACATTTTATGTAAATTTAATACATCTGTAATTTATAATTTAACATCTTTATTACAGTTTCTGCCTGATGATGGTGAACCTTCTGCAGAATCAGAGGTAGTTATACAGTCAGAGGTCATTCTTTAATGGTATTTGTTCTTTTTTTTAAATTTCAAAATAAATATTTCATATTTTTTTTAAAAAATGGTGTGTTTTACAAATTAAGGCACAGAGCTTAGGAAGTTGGACATTAAAGAAGAATACAAAGAGGAAAGAACGATCTCCTAGCCCACCTAAAGGTTAGAATTATCCACTAATATAATTAATTAAAATCTACCATTTTTAAAGTATAATTCTGCAGCTATATAAGATGTATAATCTACCTTAAGTATAATTCTGTCAGATGACTTTGGAGCAAATTAAGACTTTCATCTCCATTGCCATTGTCAGGTCCATCGTTTGTTAATAGAAAATTTTACTTTGAGAGTTAATTTTATTAGGTCCACCTCCAAAGAAAGTGAAGTCAGACCCTGTATCAGAACAGATTGAATTGTCAGTGAGGGAGGTAAGGTTTCAGTGGATGATATTGTTGATTTATGATGAATACATGTGAATGACGAAGCTAGGAATTGTCTCAATAATTGTTTTAATTTTCTAAATCAGATTGAGGCAGTATTGAGCAATAAAAGAGTTTTGTTGGAATTGCAATCAGACATTCTATTTCTTTTTCATTTAATATTTGGTAAGTGTGTACTTGCAGTAGCAGCTTCATTTGATACATTATTTATTTTATATCTAAACCATGTTTCATCAAGATGTCGATCCAGCAGAGACAGAGGGACAAAGAGGACCATGTTAATCTGAAAACAACAGACGATGACAAACCTAAGAAAAAGAAGAAGAAGAAGGAGAAGAGAGAGAAGAGAGAAGACGCTGAGTTTGCTGCCTTTGATTACAGCCAGGCAGACCAAAATATGTTCTTAGGTAGGATGGGACTTAAATACAAGTACCTTCTTTGGTAATACATAAATAAGAACATCGAGAAATGGGCTAAATCAAATCTACGGTAACTTGTTCAATTTCCAACAAATGTCATAAATGTTAAATACATTTACAGTACTGTGGATTTGTCTAAATGATTTGAAAATCCCATGCAACCACTTATCCTCTATGTATTTCAATCTGATTTCTTTCAAAAATCTTTGGATACCTTGACGTTTTTGTCTCAGTCCCCTCAAGTTATAGATAAAGAGGTTTGACTGTATATTTATTTCAGTGGAAGATTGACCTACATATGTACGTGTAATTAGATGTATTTATTTACTTTTTAGGTGGTGACAGTAAGAAGAAAAAACATGATGTTTTTAACCCGTACACTTCATTACAAAGTAAAGGAAACCAGAAGGTCAGTATACTTAGCTGTGTTCTTTCTATTTTATTGATGTTAAAACAATACAGAGTCTGAACACTTTATATACATGTTTGTCCTCATCTGTTAACTAAAAGTTAAAATCCAGGAACATTTTATAAATTTGAAATATGATTCATTTCTGTGTTTTTAAACTGGGGGAAGATATACCATAGACGTTTTTCTTTTCTGGATATTTAGTATGGGGTCTCAAATGCAGAGCTGCCAACCCTTACAATTTTGGCGTAAGTCGTACAAAATTAGTGTCCAAAATAAGCCTTACGATTTCTCTCTATATGCTTCCGATTTTTGTTTGTCTCGATCAGAGTTTATAATATTGGAATTTTCATAACTGGCGGTCTACAGTTTCTACTATTATAATTAAATATTCATAATCCTTACAACGCTTGCTTGCATCGTCGTTTTGGTTTTAGATGGCTAAATCGCATTCATGTCAATGTTTTAAAGTAAACAAAATGGAAACGTACCTTAAATGGCTACAATTGCATGTCCATTTACGAAACATCTTCAGGGGCAGGGGGCTTAGGCGGTCCCCGAACCCTGCCTTCCTATTTTTCATTTCAGAATGTTGGCAGCTCTGCAAATGGTCAAGAGCATTTTGTCACTTACATGTATAGTACATAAAATACCCTCAATGACAAAACAAGAATCTGTATAATTTGCTACTAATCTACTGACGAAATAGACAGAAATTATAATTCAATAATAAGTATGATCCAGTGGAAAAAAGTAATGTTAACAAGATTTAAATGGGACTGATAATTTCATCAGTGTCAGTTATTGCTTTTGTTAGTTTGAAAACAATAGAATAATTGTAGGATAACCTTTGTTTCATTTTTAAAAGGTTGGAAGATCCAGTCAATCATTTTCCCGATCCCAGAAGAGTCACAGTTACAAACAGGATGGAAAAAGAGGGGGGAGGAGCCACAACTGGCCGAAACAGAAATGAGTGGCAGGAATGGGTCATAATCAACCAAAACAGAGATGAAGGACTATTTCATAAATCTCTTTGTGCTGTCCAAACTGCAACAACAGTATCACATTTGTGTTGACATTTTCATAGTCATATTAAAATTACAATAATAATTGGTAATATACAGCATTTGATGTCTTCAGAATTATCTATCAGAAGAACATAGCTGTGTGTTTAACATAAATAACACAACTGTTTACAAAAAAATGTTGAATATATTGATATGCATGTATGTGATTTGTTAATACTGAATTTGAATAGAAAGGACATAAATAATTAATTCCTAAAATATAGAGAAACAGTAGAATTTTAAAGTATAAAGCTTGTAAATTATTGCGAAATGTAGGTGTTCTTTTTCACTCTTAAATGAAAACAAGAGGCCCATGGGCGACATTGCTCACCTTAGCACATCAGCTGGGAAAAAAGCACAAATCAGTTCAGTATTGAAAAGTTTACTAAGGTAGGGGGAGGGGAGGGTGGTTATGGCATGAATTTTGTACTACATAAGGATGCCCCATCATATAACATATAACTTTGCTGTTCTTGAGAAAAAGATTTTCTTCCTATATGGTACTTTGTAAAAATTGATCCCCCATGTGTGGTCCCTCCCTACCCCAAAGAGTCTTGAACAAATTGAAATCTTCACTACATGAGAATGCTTACATGTTAATGTGACTAAACATAGCTTTCTTTTCTTGAGAAAGGCTTTTCCTGCTATTTTCCTATAGATGTAAAACTTTGATCCACCATTGTGGACTTTCCCTAACCTTGGGGGTTATGATTTGAATAAACTTGAATTTGCACTACCTTATAAGTATCACTAATCATGGCCTTACTAATCTTAAGAAGAAGATTTTTTTCTTTATATGTAAAAATTTGAACCCCACCCTACCCCTGGGGGTTATGATTTGAATCTTCACAACCAGAGGATGCTTCCATCTAAATATCACTAATCATGGCTTTGCTATTCTTGTGAAAAAGATTTTTAAAGATTACCAGGGGTATATATTTCTATGTAAAAATTTGATCCCCTACTGTGATCTCACCCTACCCCCGGGGATTATGATTTGAAACTTGAATCTTCACAACCAGAGGATGCTTCCATATAAATATCACTAATCATGTCTTTGCTATTCTTGAGAAGAAGATTTTTCCGTATATATTTCTATGTAAAACTTTGATCCCCCATTGTGGCCCCACCCTATCACCGGTGGTCATGATTTGAACAATCTGCACCATCTGAGGATGCTTCCATATAAATAAGACCAATCATAGTTTTGCAATTCTTGAGATTTTTAAAGATATTTGCCATACATACCTTTGCAAACTTGAATCGTCCAATGTGTCCCCACCCTACTTCCTGGAGTCATGATTTGAACTAACTGAATCTACACCACCTTAGTATGATTCCAAATGAGTTTTATTTTTCTTGGGGCAGTGGTTCTTGAGAAGATTTTTAAAGATTTTCCCAATATATTCCTATGTAATTCCCTGATCGGTCGATATGGCCCCAACCTACCTCTAGGGGTCATGATTTGAACAAACATAATTTCATCTTTGTTGGCCCAGTGGTTCTTGAGAAGATTTTTAAAAGATTTTTCCTATATATTCCTTTGTAAAACTTTGATTGGCCATTGCAGCCCAACCTTACCCCCAAGGGTCATGATCTGAACAATTTTGAATTTACACTACCTGAGGATTAGTCCGAAATAGCTTACATTTTCCAGGTATTTTCACGATTTTGATATTTTACGTGCCAGGAAAATATCAAAATCGTAAAAAAAAAGCATGGAGAGCGTCAGCTATTTCGGACTACCTTGGGATGATTCCACAGGAGTTTCATCTTTCCTGGCCCAGTGATTCTTGAGTAGATTTTTTAATGGTGTCATTAATTTTTCACTTATTTGTTAATATCTCCTCTTGCAAGAGGACATGGCCCTTAATTTGAACAAATTTAAATTCCCTTTACCCAAGGATACTCTGTACCCAGTTTGGTTGAAATCGGCCTAGTAGTTTTTGAGAAGAAGATGAAAATGTGAAAAGTTTACGACGACAACGACGCAAACGACAACGGACACATTTTGATCAGAAAATCTCACTTGAGTCATTGGCCAAGGTGAGCTCAAAATTCCACAACAATGATCCAAACATATGCTAAATTGTGTCATTTTAAGGTACCATATTAAAATTCTATCAATTAAAAATGATAGTGTTTTTACTGACTTGTAAAACTGACTTGAATTTAACAAAATATTGACAACCTAATGCAAGTGAATTTTTTAACAGAAGAATTAAAAGGCTAATTTCTCTATAATGCAATTTCTACAGATGTACACCACTTGTTTATTTGTATTTTCTCTTTTGTAAGAAATTTACATCTTTAAATACAATGGTTCACTATGGAATATGCATATATTTTCATAAAAGCTGTAAGGCCCGATTTATAATGTTCTCAAATGTGTTTTAAATGCCATAATGACCCAAAAACATGGACTAGCTACAATAAAAATAATATAAAACTAGAGGTACTGTGAGCAATGAGCTCACTAAATGATACCCCCCGCCTCCCATAATATCCATGTGTTGCTATATATGGTTTTACGATAATGTGTAAAGAGGAATAACTCGTCCAATGGCAATGTCCATGTTTTGCTATGGGAAACCTAAAATACATGTCGAATAAAAAAGTAAAATAGGAGGTGCACAATGGCAATATGTAATAAAGATTCTGTGAAAGTTTCATTAAATTTCGCTCAGTAGTATAAGAGGAGTTGCGGATAAGAGATAAAGCGTAACAGACGGGCGGACGGAAATCCCGATTACTATACACCCTCCCACTTTTCAAGCGGGGGGTATAACTAGAGGTACTGTGAAGAATGAGCTCACTAAATGATACCCCGGCCTCCCTAATGTCCATGTTTTGCTAGGCCTATATATTGTTTTACGGTAATGTGTAAAGAGGAATAACTCGTCGTATCAAATTTATTCAGAAGCCGCGATACTAGTATGTGACGTCATAGGTAAGAATATAATGGCAATGTCCTTGTTTTGCTACGGGAAACCTTAAATACGTGTCGAATAAAAAAGTAAAATAGGAGGTGCACAATGGCAATATGTAATAAAGATTCTATGAAAGTTTCATTAAATTTCACTCAGTAGTATAAGAGGAGTTGCGGATAAGAGTTGGGTACCCTAAAGCGTAACAGACGGACGGACATTTACTATATATCCTCCCACTTTTCAAGCGGGGGGTATAAATATCAACTCAATTAAAAGCTTACAGGGTTCTCTTTTGATGTCATCAAGTGAATCTTATGATCTCAAACACGCATTCAGTTCTTCAAGGTTTTTACTATCGACCACAAGAGCAATGAACTATATATAAGGTTGTGTTTGAAGCTGCACATTGGGAAATGAGATTATTTAAAAACAATTTTAAATTAAATTTTAAATCTAATTATTTTAATTGCTCATTTTTCATCAGAGATTAAATAATTTATGATAAAAGGGCTTTCAACAGGCACTCCCCAATATAGGAGTACGTGTGTAACATGTATGATTTTTCAGGATAATAAACAAAAGATATTAGTGAAAAGTTGCGGGGGTGGTAAATTGTTTTTTTCCCTTTTAAATATGCAAGCTTAGGCTGTGTATGACATAGGTATATTTTCCTACACTTTGTTGTGTTATCTATCACTGCTCTGTGCATCACATAAAAGTAAAAGTCATACAATGTAGGCATACTATACGACACATAACCCGGTACATTAGCATCTGGTTCACCTGAAGATTTTCAAGAACACATAGGTGCAATTTTATTCTTTATCCCTAATTTTCATGTGGATGAAGCCATTTGATGAACAAATTAAATGCACAGGACTTTGTTGATAAGACAGCCTGAAACACTTTCGGCACTGATTATCAGACACTTTCCTTGAAAATACTTGTACTAGTTTTCAATGCTAATTTTTGTTTGAGGCTAGTTTGATATTGTGCAACAATTTTACTTTTTAGCCGGGCTTATTGCTCAAAGAGCAATTGCCGGCTTATGTGATCCTGTTCAAGGCAGGATGTTAACCCAATAGTCGCCATTTTAAAGTTACGTGCAAAAATATAGTTCTGACTCTCAACCACTTTTGAGATAATACAAACGCTAAATAAAGCAACAAAAATAAAACGAAGTTTTATCTATATAAAATAAACATTTGTAGTAATGACTTTGAAAACTTCATAAGTCAAAGAACATAGTTCATTAGCGTAAGGATTTTTGATAATCAGTGTTACCGTAGTTCTCTACACATATGAGGTAAAGCAGGAGAGGGAACCAGACTGGCCTGTTTGTTTACATTCAGCTGCGGTACCAGATTAATTCTGATTCTGACAAAATCGGACCGTGGTATTAGGATTGAAAAACTCACTGTCAGTGTCTTATCATTTATATTGATAGTTTTAAAATAATTTTTTCATCAGAATATAAACGTGATTCATGTAAGAAATCCATTCTACTCTGTAAATGAGCCCGGCTCTCTGTACTTCTGAGTACTTTGATTATTACTCTACTGGACAGAGACTAGGAGACATGAGTTACGACGAATATTTTTTCTCGCTTCTAAAGAAACGGGCGTGTCATTATGTAACAATAGACGTTCGGTTTTTCACCCAAACTTTCAATTCAAAAGAAAAAAATTACCACTTCAATGTGCTTCATTTAATCATTGCTCTATTTATCGTACAAGCAGGACCGGTACTGCTTGTGCAAAGTTTCAAGTCCAACTGCTAATTTTTCCTGCCCCCGCACTGGCCCCGGGCCCCCGTAATTAAAGATGAGGGATATACAGTTTTTGCCCTGTCCGTCTGTCTGTCCACAAAAACTTTAAGCCCACCCATAACTTTTGAGTTGGTGGGGCTTTGGCTTTCATATTTCTCAGGTATGTTCCTCCTGACAATACCTTTCTTATGGTACCACCAAATCTGACCTCTTGACCTTGGAGTTTAACCCACTTTTACAGAAAATGACCAAACTTTAATCTAGGCCATAACTATTGAACAATTTGTGCTGAGGCTTTCATACTTCACATGTGTATTCAATGTGACAAGATCTTCCAATTACTGTAAATATTTTTGAGCTTCATTGCAACACTTTTAACCTTTTACCTTTGTCATACGTTTTGAATAGTTAGTACTAGGGTTTTCATATTTCACACAAATCAGTAGAGCTAGTCTTGACAGAGACTTCTGATACTTTTAGACTCTACATGTATAGGTTGTTAGATTTGAACATCTCCCTAGAAATCGCAGCGAATGAACTTTATAATATAAGCTAGTCCTCATTTGAGTGAGGTAATCTCTGGTTCTAATTTTAAGTTTGTATTGGTGAAAGGTATATTAAAGAGGGGATTAGAAAGTTACCAGTGCCTCCCCCCAATCACGATCATTTCACAGGGTTTTGAAGACAATCGGTTGGTATAATTCACCAACAATGGCTCTAAATATTCATTAAAAGAGCATACATTTAATTCATATCCAAAATATGCTAATTTATATTGTTTTGTACATTTATGGACCCATTTATGAATATAAATGAATATGCAAAAATATATATTCTTACGAGGAAAAAAATGGAACTATTTTCGTCTTATAATGTACTTGAGCCGAGTGTCTTGATCATGGTGAACTTCTCTCATTGATATGCTTTTAAAACTTTATAATCGTTTAGGTTATATGTCTTAACTGTGGTAAACCCAGTTTTTACATATTACTAAACGTGCTTTAATCATTTTAGAACATCAGAACAATTCAAAATTAAGAATTAAAAGGCAAATTTCTCTATAATACAATTTCTACAGATGTACACCATTTGTTTATGTGTATTTCCTCTTTTGAAGGAAATTTACATCTTTAAATATAATGGTTCACAATGGAATATGCATATTTTCATAAATGCTACTAAGGCCTGGTTTATAATTTTCTGAAATGTGTTTTAAATGCCATAATGTCCCAAAAACATGGACTGCTCTTTTTCATAGATACAAAACTAAAAAAAGAGGAAAAATTTCTCGTGTTATTAAGATCAGCTCAATTAAACGCTTACAAGATTCTCTTTGATGTCATCAAGTGAATCTTATGATCTCAGACACAAATTCAGTTCTCCAAGGTTTTTACTATCGACCACAAGAGCGACGAACTATATATTAGGTTGTGTTAGAAGCTGCACATTAAGAAATGAGACATTATTTAAGAATAACTTTAAATCAAATTTTAAATCTCATTATTTTGTTCATTTACCACAGGAGAATAAATAGTTTAATATGACTAAAGGGCTTTCAACGGGCACTCCCCAATATAGGAGTGTGTAACATGTATGATTTTTCAGGATAATAATAAAAGGTAATAGTGATAAAGTTGTGGGGGGATGGTAAATTGTTTTTTTTAAAATATGCTGTGAGTGACACGGTATTTTTCTAAAATACTAGACTTTGTTATGCTATCTATCGCTGCTCTGTGCATCATATAGTCTGCATAAGTCATGGGCATAACAAACGACAGTTATGCCGGTACATCAGCATCTATAGTTCACCTGAAGAGCTGAACATAAGCACATTTTTATTCTTTATCCCTGATTTCATGTAGATGAAGCAATTTGATGAATAAATGCACAGAAATTTTATTTCGTTGCTTAGAAGAGAGCCTGTAACACTATCTGGCACTTTCCTTGAAAAAGTACTAGTTTTCAATGCTAATATTTGTTTGTGACTGGTTTGGTATTTTGCAACAATTTAATTTTCAGCTCTACTGGTCAGAGACCAGAAGAGCTTATGCGATAGAAATGCGTCGGTCGTCCGTCCGTCTGTCTTTCTAGCTGTCCGTCTGTAAACAATTTTTCAAAATGCTACTCCTCCTACAGTTTTGATCTGATTTCAATATAACTTGGCACACAAGTAGACTACAATAAGATATATAATTCAGTGCATCGGTTTTGATTTCGATGAAAGGTGTTGCCGTGGTTACTAAAAATAGAAATTTCTGTGAAATACTTTCAAAATGCTACTCCTCCTACAGTTTTAGTCTGATTATAATATACTTTGGCATGCAAGTAGACTACACTGACATACATTATTATCAGTTTTGTGTTTTTTATTTTGATGAACAATGTTGCCATGGTAACCAAAATTAAAAATTCTGTAAATTTTTTTAAAAAGCTACTCCTACAGCTGTAGTCTTATTGCAATCTTGCCACAAAAAGAGAGTTAATCAAGGATCATTATTGTTTTTATTGCTTTTGTAAAGTTTTATGTCCCAACTACTACTTTTCTCTTCCTTTATTATAAGTACAAACCAGTAGAGCTACAGTCTCGACAGAGACTTCTGGTTATTACTCTACTGGTCGGAGACTAGAAGAGCTTATGCGATAGAATGGGTTTTTGATTTTGATGCACTTAACGCCGTGTTTTGGGTCTTTTTTAGACGCTTCTGTTGCTTTTCTTAACCTCATCTTAATATTGTATATTTACTACAAAATTCTATTTTCTTGCCCCCGTAATGAAAGATGAGGGATATACAGTTTTTGCCATGTCTGTCTGTCTGTTTGTCCACAAAACTTTTAAGCCATCCCATACCTTTTTGAGTGGGTGGGGATTTGGCTTTCATATTTCACAGGTATATTCCTTGTAACAAAACCTTAGAGTACCACCAAATTTGATCTCTTGAGTCTTGACCATGGAGTTTAACCTACTTTTACAGAAAATGACCAAACATTAGCCTAGGCCATAACTTTTGAACAATTTCTGCCAGGGCCTTCATACTTCACATGTGTATAGATTGTGACAATGGTCTTTCAATGGCTTTAAATATTTTTGACCTTCATTGACCCACTTTTCAAATTCTTTAACCTTGGCCATACGTTTTGAACAGTTAATACTAGAGATTTCATACATGTAATTCACACAAATCAATAGAGCTAGTCTTTGATTGACCCACTTTTTAAAATCTTCAACCTTAGCCATAAGTTTTGAACAGTTAGACTGTCACTAGGGGTTTCATATTTCACACAAATCAGTAGAGCTAGTCTTCTGATATCTTTAGCCTCTATATATGTGATATCTCCCTAGAAATCGCAGTGAATGAACTTTATAAGCTAGTCTTCATTTAAATGAGGTAATCTCTGCTTCTAATTTAAATTTGTATAGGTGAAAAGTATATGAAAGAGGGAATTGGAAAGATTCCAGTGCCCCCAAACCACGATCATTTCATAGGGTTTTGAAGAGGGTCTTGGTCTTGGTGAACTCTCATTAGTGTCTTAACTTTGGTCAACCCAAGTATTTACATATTTCTTATTATTATATTGTGTTTTAATCATTTTAAAACATCAGAACAATTAAGACTAGAATAAATTAAGACTTTGAAAAAAAAATGAAATAATATTTGAGATATTAGGAAAATTGTTCCTTGTGAGAAACATCTCCAATTTATGCATCATTTTCAATACTTCTGAATTAAATCATCTTGAGAGTCTTTCTCACTTCTGAAGAGCGGGTATCCTGATGTTTTTGGAGTTTGACAAGTGTCCTCATTTGATGATATTTCAATGTTAAGGCACAATGGACGTCGCATCCGTCGGACGAAACCAAATAGAATCGAATCGGTTACCCTGAGGAAATCACGTGACCTAAACTGATGATGCTCCTTACTGCTGAAGTTCCCCATGTATTGCTGGGAATGGTCAGGATACCTAGAAGTAGAGCGTTCGCTTTGTGAAAGAATTTCCATTCTTCCTTCTCTGTAAGCACCCTGCACAAGTGGTGAAAGTCGCTGTCCTTTGTCACAGAAGCGATTTGTGCGTTTGCACTCTAAAGAATCCTCACTGCTCAATTCCCCTGGTGTCGAGTAAAGGTCTAAATTTGAAGCCCTTCACCAGTGTACGGTGAAATTTCTACTGAAGTGAAAAAATGAATCGACGGTGGTAAAACAGCACTCATTCTGAATGACGCTACGTAGACTATTTAGTAGAAATCTTTATATTTCTACTGGTCTTTCAGAATTTTAGTAATCAGATAACCTATTTATCAAGATTTCTTTGATAAGTCTCCTTATCTAGCGAAGAGTCTTTGATATTTTTGAAAACATCAAATTCTCCCCTTTTGAAAAACTGACAACATCTCCAGCGTGCAAAACGGACTTCATTTTATTGCAGGATGTATCAGCAGGACCGATAAGGTCGTAGTTGATAACGAGCAGCCTCTTTCTGCTATCCGCCAGATAACTTTCCCAAATACAAGTCCACTCCTTATACGTATAAAGAGAGTCTTCGTTTAAGTAATTGTCAGAAAGATGCACTATGTAAAACCTCGAAACTGAGATCTGCCATGCTGTCTCGTCAGATCGAACACTTCCAAGCGGCAGGTCACGTGTCGGTAGGAAAACATGGAAGCCTTTCAGGATTAAAAAAGGTTCTAGTGATTTAAGTATCCATGAATGAAGGTCTTGATTTTCTCCGTCGTAGGAAACAAACACAACACAGTCCTGGTCCAACACGCCCTGAGATGATGGTCGTTTACACGCTCTTGAGGTCCTATAGATGAGCCTTATTTCATACTTATATCTATAAACAGCGGCGGCAAATACAGCAACACATATACCGAGGAAAGAGCAATTAAATAATAGGATATAAATTGAGTAATCAGATTTTTCTTGGCAATCCATGTGTGGAATGTATGTTATCATTTTCTCGGCGCTGATTCCAACCAAACACTTAAAAGCAAATCCTGTACTGCAGTTTCCATTTCTAGTCACCAGCCATTCATACATCCAACTGTGTGAGCAGGTACAGTTTACAATAAAATCCTGCTTCTGCAGAAAAACACATGGATCAAAACAAGAAAACTCACGCGGTATACCATAAAACTGTGCTTTTCTGGGAATGGAAAATTCTTTTAATCTTTTCAATTTTCCTAAAGCTCCATGCTCAAAGGAAGGCAGGTTTGACAATTCCATAACAAAGACACGAGGCAAGTAATGTTCCTCTTTAATGTGAGTGATAAAGCTTCCATGGAGATAAAATTCGATTTCATTAATTTCTGGTAGGATGTGTGGTAATCGTTGAATTTTCGATTGTGAACAGTTTATGCTCAAAGTGAAAGTCAGCTGGGTCTCTCCAGCGCTTGAATATCTTGGTGTCTTCACACAGGAACAGCCACGAGGACACAATGGTGTACCTGTGTAATCACAAACAAGCTCTGAAATCCGATCTCCGTCCAGAAAATTTATAATTAAACTTCCTTTTAAAACTGGCGGATTCTGACAAGACATATAGAAATAAGTTCGATCTATGTACTTTGTTAATGGTTTAAAATAAGCTAAAGGTTCTGCTAATTTACAGTCACAAGTAATAGGATTAAACCGAATGTCAATTCCAAAATAAATGATTTTCCCGACATCGGAAAGATTGGGAAATCCGACTTTTTTCCAGTTTGGAAGTTCTTGGATGTTATTGTATGTTGCGTCAATAAACCCCCCAGAATAGCTGACACTCTTGTTCACCGTCCACTTGTAGTTGTTAACTAGAACCTGTAAGTTGTTATACGACAGATCCATCAAACAGAATGGCCTTACAATGGCGAAATCTCTGACATCCAGTGACATTAAAAAGTTACCTTTCAGAATGATAGTGTGGAAGGTGGAGAGTTCCAGAACCCCCGTCTCTATGTATGTGATCAAGTTATATGATAAGTCAACATACCCCAGATTTCTGTTGTGTATCAGCGAAGCTTTCCTGAGAGAACTGATCTTATTCCTGGAAAGTTCCAGAATCTCCAAATTTGGGAGACAAGACAGAGATGGGATACCTGTGAGCAGGTTGTCCGAAAGACGAATCAGCTTTATAAAGGGAAAATCACATAAATTTCTTGGAAAAGTCTGCAGATTTCTGAAGGTATAATCCAAATCCATGCTCTCTGCCTTTGAACAGTGATCCCCTAATATTGTGCTATTAAGAGACAAAAGCAAATGGCATGAGTTGATATCGTAATTTACAGTACAGGCACAGTTGATCTGAAATACAGCAAAACAAAGTACACATATAACGGACAGCACTGATAATTTAATTATTTCCATATCAATTAAACTGCTCTTTCTTCTTCGACGTACTTATGCAGTCTAACACTTATGTTCAAGTCCCCAGAACTGCACTTAAAAAGCAGACGATTTTAAATTAAATGAAGTGCATGCACGGATACCCATGGGGCGAATATCAGTTGACATTGTATTCTAACTGAGAACAAACATACTACAAAAAGAAGTTTGCCTAAAACTGGGTGTTTAAAATTCAACAAATTTACCTCGCTGGATGACTTAATAATTTCCTGAATACCAATGAATACATGGATATTACCGTAATATATATGCTGCATTAAATGACCTTGCATATATTGAATTAAGAGAAACATTTAAAACCATTTTAAATTTATAATATGTTTTGATTCCGGTATATTTGAATAAAATTTGATAAAAAATAGAAAATACATAGCACAGGAATTGAAAATTCACATGATAGTATGCAATACTTTAAATTTTCTTTTTAAGGTAAACTTAATTCAACTTTTAGAAAAATCTTTATAATAATTGAGATGGACCCAGATTAATATGTGTCAAAATGATTGTCAAAATGATCGAGGAATTGAACCGACAGTTTTTTTAAAAATATATTTTTGACGATTAAAACATATTCATTACAAAAAAATTAAATTAAAAGAATCAGTAGATGACGTCAAAATATTTCTCCTTTGAACATGGATTAAGAGTTATTTTTTATTTTGCATTTAATAACAGAACGTCACATGACATGTAGATAGCATAAACACTTTCTTAAATGTAGCTTCCAAAATGACCAATATATACTGTAGGATCACAGGGGCCGGTAACATACTGTATTTGATTTTACGTAATCTCTTTTTGTATACACATAGTGATTACGTCAAATCACAAATGCAGTATGTTACCGGCCCCTGTGTGTAGGATGTCTCTAATTAAAAATAATATAGCGGAAACATGATAAGGAGGCTGAGGGGGGGAGGGGTCAACAAGTAAACCATCAGGTATAACTGAATTTTTTAGATTTTCAGTCGGCAGGAATCATTGACTCGAAACAATTCAGATTTAAATGTCCAAGCACCATGTAGTTTTAATACATATCTAATACAATGAACATAGAAACTGCATGGGAATGGATTTCTGTCTTATGTTTCTTTACTAGTATTTGTAAATAATTTTTTTCAATTAAATGGTGTCATGAAAGATAAATTATCTATGTGCTGGATACATTTCCATGTAAAAGAATATAATAGAAGTCTTATACTAAATAATTTTTGTGCTCAGTTTTCAAATTCACTGAAAATATTGAATGTAACAGAACGATCGAAGTTGATAGTTTTTTTTAATATATTCAATATTTTTTCATCAGGTGTAACTTTGTAGTTACAAGTTCATGTATGTTTATTTCTATTTTAGAACGTTAGCACTATAAATGACAAAATTTGAACGCCTTGAAAAATAAAACAATGTAAAATAATTTATAAAACATAATTTGCAACTTTATTCCAGGAGTATTTTTACTACCAATTCAAAAATTTCAAGCACAAAGAAATAAAAAAAAAAACAAGCTAATTCAGAGAATTCGTGTCCCCCTCTTAGGGAAAAAGTCGGCTCCCCCTGACTGAATTTGTAGAATTATTAAATGTATACATGTATACTGAAGCAAATAAAATACATGTATGTCAATATGCATATAAAGATTTGATAGTAGTACAAGGGGCCGGGATAGGGGAGGATTCTGATTGGCTGAGAGAAATCACGTGATCAAAAAGGGTGGATTCTGATTGGCTGAACCCTAACCCTAACCCTAACCCTACTAACCCTAACCCTAACCCTGTCTGTGGGGGGGGGGGGGGGTAGGGAGGTCAACTCAGTACAGCCCTAACCCTAACCCTAACCCTTACCCTAGGGGGGCTAGGTGGGTCAGTACATAGCCCTAAATATGGTGTTTACATTACACACTATACGTTGGTACTACGTTTTTTTATGCTAACTGCACAGGTAAATACTTGCGCCGTGTGCAAAACATTTCAAGAATGTCATTATGACGTCACACTTTTCATTCACAGTCTAGACAGTCTAGCCTAACCTAACCAGGTTCAAACTGGATTTTTTTTCTTTACTGAAAAACAATAACACTAACACACAATAACAAGGCAATTTTATTTGTTGCATCATCTTTTTTATACCTGTTGCATCATCTTTTTTATACCTGTTGCATCATCTTTTTATACCTGTTGCATCATCTGTAAAGTGCCGTGTGCAAAAAATTAGGGTCGTGTGCGAAAAAAACCAAACCTTTTACCTACGTTTTCTTATATATACCTGTTGCATCATCTGTAAGTGCCGTGTGCAAAAAAAAAATACGATAAACTTACCTATGCATTGTGACGTCATAAACTTGGCAGCGACGTCATGTTAGTCCTTCACAAGCCGCGATGGTTGCTTATTTTGACACAATAACACAGACTTTCACAGCGCTTGAGACTTCATGTAATAACAGTATGGTCCTATGGATTTCAGTACCAACACTGATTTTCTACCCTTTTTCTTCCAAGAAAGTTCTGAACAGCTGAATCCTGGATCAGCCTAGATATCAGTTCACTGGATTATTCAATGAATATTACTATACTGAGGTACCTGGTTACATGGTAAGTTTTAACAAACTTTTCTTTATACATTTTCTATGAAGGTCATCTTTGTATTGATCCATTATTACTGTGTTATATACCTAATGTTTAGAACATTCATATAAACACTGCCATTGTTTACCCTGAAATACACTAGGACACTAAAAGATCCTCAAAATGCTTATAAAACTTTTTTGCATGAGTTATTATCATATTGTCTCACATTCCTTTTATCGGATCAGTATTCTAAAAATTCTTATGAGGAGACTCGTAGCATATCTTATAAAATACTGATACATGCTTTTAAAACAAATAAAGTGATATTCTCAGTTGTTATTTCTAATATTTCTATGAATCTTTAATCACAGTGACCAAAAGAAGGATATGGAGATAATCAATCAGATCCTATTATGCCAATGAATCTTTTATCTCAAATCTTTTTTAATGAAATATACAGAATCTTTTGCCTTATTTGTCACTCAGGTGCAACAGTGACCCAATGAAAGTGGGAAAAACTCAGTCTGAGCATCTCTGTAAATCTATAAACATGTGTGCCCCCCCTTTTGTTTAAAACCTTTATGTATATACATGTATGTATTTTATTTATCAGTGATTTCAAACATCAGCATGTAAAATATATATTGAGTACTTTAAAAGTGAATATGCATGATTTGTACTCCCTGAATATTCTGACATACTAATGGTGACATCAGTTAAAAGAGTAATTAGTTATGTAAAATTCAGTTTATATGAATGTAAATGGGGTATTTATTCTCAGTTCATGTAAGGTATAATTTGCATGTAACACAGAGTGTATTTAATATTACTATGATGGGTCATTCCATGATTGAATTTAAATCAGAAAAAAATGTTTACTAAATTTTAGTAAAAAACATATGGTATCTTTTACATTTCTGTCCTGTTTGTCTGTCAATTGTTGCTTTACTTCCTTTGTAAAATGAGGTTAATTGAGTATCACTGAATATTGTATGCTTTTTTTCAGGATCAGCTAAGATGTTGTTTCACTGGATTATTTAATTGGACATATAATTGGATAATTCTGGTAAGTTTGTCTTTGTTTTGTTTACATTTCCTATGAAGGTTATCTTTGCATATAACCATGATTATATGGTTTAATTTAATTACTGTGTAATTCTTATGTGATCTAATATCTCTAACATTCATATAAGCACAGTCTTATTTTGTCTAAAATATACTAAGGAAACTTCATATTGTTAATAAGTCCTTTTGCATAAATTATGATATAATGTCATAATTCATTATGTCTGTTACCCATGGAATTCAGACTTACTAAATTGTGATCTATAAGGAATGTAATAAAAGAAAAAGTAAGAATCTACAAAAGGTTTATCCTTGTTTTGATTCTAAATATGTGCTATATATGGCATACATAATCATTTCATTTTCACTTTTGTTTCTTGGTAATGAGCTTTTCAAAAAATGTAGGACTACATGTTGTATATGCTAATATCTTTTTGTATGCTGTACTGACAGGTATTAAACAAAATTGAATATGCTGTTAAGAGAAAGTCTGTTAGTGTCTAAAAATTACACTGATAATCATTTTGTATTTGTGATATTAATACAGTAACTGTGCTTCTTTTGTTATCTAAAGATAACATGATGAACTATTTTCATGAACTTTTTGGCACTGTATTTAAACATGCAATGTTTCATGCAGTTCCTTGTCATATTAACAAAATGATTATATTTTCTACAGTCCTCAACATGGAAGTTATGTTTTATTCCTAACCATCTATAATCCATTCTCTATGAAGTTCAGCCTGTCTGCCCAAATTCCTTTGGAAATACATAGTTAGTCAACCAACATAGAAACAATCAAACTTGAAGGTAAAGTTTCAATGAGATATCCAGTCCTAATTTTTATATATATTTTTTTTTACATATGCTTGATTATATTTTCAAATTAATTGAATTGATAAGTAAATGATATGACCTTTTTTTGAAATTATGAGGGCTTGGTGGTCATGGTTATTTTTAGACTATATTGATTTCCTCTATGAGAAGAAGAGCTCCATATAGATATTTACAAAAATGATCAAATTGTGAAACTAAAATGTGTGAAATTTTTCTTTGCCAAATGATAGTTAACAGCTGAAGATATCTTAACAGATATCTAAAAAATAAGTTATATCAGATGGTTAATTTATTAACCCTCAGCTTCCTTAAAAGCATAGTTGGTAAAGATTTCAAGTTTTCTATCCAAGTGCTTATGAATTATGAATTTTTCATTTAATATTGACATTATATTTACAGGGAAAGAATACTACAATGTGGCTCCTCAGGATCAACAGTGAAAAATCTTAATCAATAATGACCCTCCTGACTATGTCTAAAGGCTCTAACCTTTATAGCTGATGTAAGATGATCTGATTGCAAGGCATTAAAATTTCCTGGTGTTTCTACCATCCAGGATCTTCTTATGAGTGCATGGGGACTGCTGTGGACCTTAACCTGTTTATAAAAATATACCTTGGAGCATGACACATTATATGGTACTTTCAATATCATTTCTATGAGTTTTTCTTCTTTCTTTTAATAATCTAGTAATGAATTCAAGTGTTTTGTTTCCTTACATCACTTAATGTGTATGCTTCCAACATCTCAGATCTGTTTATATGTTTATTTCTCTTTGTTTTTCTGAACACAAAAACCCTGACACCATTTTTTAAGCAAACAACATGGTGACTTCACATCTGACACAAAGGATAATCAGAGTGTATATCACAATCTTGACTAAAAGGTCTAAGCCATAGCAAATGTAAGAGAGTGGGGTTTTTTTCTATCAGAGAACAAAATTTTGTAGTTAAACAAACACTGGCAAGTTACTCTCAAAATGAGCCTAAATGTCTTCTAAAACTTTAGTGTAGAGTTTCTTTATTAATCCTCAGGTCTCTTCTCCTCTGTGGAGTTAAAATCATGTGTTTTTAACATTTTTTTTTTTTGCTGACAACTGTTTTCTCTCTTAGCATCTTTAAATTGAATTTTCTCTCCAGTCAAAGATCTTTCAGGGTAATCCAGGTAATCCTTACCCTCTATTGGTAATTAATGATTATATTCTTCATAGGCTTCTTCTGCAATCAAGGGTCTGTCTATGTAATCTATGACATCACAAGGCCCATCCATTGTGGGGATAATTAGCTATATTCTTCATGAGAAATGATCTGAATAATGTCATCTCTTTTTATTTTAATTGGTAAACCTCGTTCTACATCTTTCTCTGTAAGAACTCTCTTACCAAACTGAATTTTACTCATTCCTTTACTCTTTTCTTTTACTAAAGCTGTTACTACTGTTGTGAGATGTGTATTGTTTCATCATGTATATTATTAGTAACATTAAGTTTCTTGAACATTCCAGAGTGGTCAACATGTTCGGTCATTTGATCTAGAACATTCTTAAATTTTGTGTATGTCCAGATTGTTCCAGTAATATCATGTTTTAATAATTTCTAGAATATTCTAGATTTATGATACTGTATAAATACCCTGTCAATTCGATGCATAAAATATTTTGTCGTATAAGCGCTATTGAGATATAAATGGGATATATTTTCACTGGGACATTGTGTGCAGCAACGGACACTCTGATGTATGTATTTTTAGATTCTTGCTAAGTTTGTACTTTATGTTTGATATATTTATTATATATTACTGTAAATAAATTATTGTTAAGTTTAAATTGTGTTATTGATCTTTGCTGGCATTTCGGGTAATTCTGACCCATAACAGAATTGGGGGCTCGTCCGGGATAAAGAATTTCTTGCACTTTTGCAGTTTATTGTCAGAATTTTGTTTATTGAACCGTTAAATTTGATTATAAGCCAGCAGAAATCAACATGGTGCTTTCGGTCACAGACTTTCTTAGTTCACCAAGTGTTCAGGTTTTTGATACGTTAAAAAAGGATGACTTGATCGCATTAGGTTTGCATTTTGGGTTAGATGTTAAATCCTCTCAGAGAAAGCAAGACATTAGAATTAAGGTTGCAAACAAACTAGTAGAAGAAAACGTCTTTGAAAAATACGATCTTCCAGAATATACAGTTAAATCAGAGTTAGGCTCTTATAAAATGGCAGAATATCAGTTTCAATTAGAGTTAGAGAAAATGCGACTTGAAAGAGAAAAATTAGAAAGAGAAGAGCGAGAAAGAGAAAGAGAAGAACGACAGCGTGAACGAAAATTTGAATTAGACAAATTAGAAAGACAAGAGCACTTTGAATTAGAGAAATTAAGATTACAGCACCAACCAGAACCGTCATTTGTCAAGACTGAATTTGATGCAGCAAAAAATATTAGGTTAGTTCCAAAATTTCAAGAAAAATCTGTAGACAAATATTTTCCCCAATTCGAAAAGGTCGCAGAGAATCTTAAATGGCCACAAAATGTTTGGTCAACAATGTTACAAAGTGTACTGGTTGGAAAAGCGGCTGAGGTATACTCTGCACTAGGGGTAGTTGAGAGTTCAGACTATGAGAAGGTCAAAGCAGCAATATTAAAAGCCTATGAATTAGTACCTGAAGCGTATAGACAAAAGTTCAGAAAGTATAGAAAGTTTGATAATCAAACATTTGTTGAATTTTCACGAGAGAAAGAAGATTTATTCGATCACTGGTTTAGATCTAAGAAACTTGATAAAACTTTTGCTAATTTGCGCCAAGTCATCCTAGTAGAAGAGTTTAAGGAATGTGTTTCTCAAGATTTGAAAACACATTTAGAAGATAAGAATGTGAAAACTCTTGAAGAGGCAGCAGTCATATCTGATACTTATGCTCTGTCTCATAAAAAGAATTTTGTATCAAGATCTCAGACTAGCAGTAATTCTACCAATTCAGACACATATAAAAAGAGTGGTTCAGGGTCTCAGTCTTCCACAAGTCTCCAGTTTCCATCACAAGGTGGTTTTAAGTCCGGTCCAGGACGTGTTGAAGGATCGTCTGGAATAGGGTCGCTTCCTACTTGTAGTTATTGTAAGAAAAAGGGTCATCTGATCAGTGAATGCTTTAAACTTAAGAGAAAAAATGATTTTGATAAAACTCAACCACATGCTTGTGCGGCAGTTAGAGATGATAGAGAAGCCTTAGTTTCGATTTGTTCTGACACTCCTGATGTCCAGGGTTCACAGTCCAGTTCTATTGATTCTATGGAGGATTATAAGCCCTTTATGTCTCAGGGATTTGTTTCACTCGGTGACTCTAGCGAAATTAAACCTGTCCAGATTTTGAGAGATACTGGTGCTGCACAGACGTTATTGTTAGAGGGCGTGCTTCCTTTGTCTGAGCAGACTTCTACTGGTGGGTCAGTTTTATTACAGGGTGTGGAGCTAGGCGTCATTGATGTTCCCCTGCATAGAATTAGCTTGAAGTCAGATTTAGTTACTGGACCTGTTATCGTAGGAGTTCGACCTACTCTTCCCGTTCCAGGCATTTCTTTGTTGCTAGGCAACGATTTAGCTGGTGGGAAGGTTGTACCTGATCCTATAGTTTGTGAGAAAATCACTTACAATGTCATGTGCGATGATGAAGATGATGACATTTATCCAGCCTGTGCTGTTACAAGAGCGATGGCCAGAAGACGAGAAATGGAGGCAGACCATACTCAAGCCTTTGACGAGACGAATTCCTCTGTTGATATTGATTTGAATGACACTTTCTTATCTGACCTTGATGGCACTCGAACAAGCATGGAACCACACCATATCAAGAAGCAAGAGAAGAAAGAACTTTTACCAAAATTTGGTGGTGAGGATGATGAGTTGCATCCACTAGTTAGCCAAGGCAAGGACATCCTCAGCCGAGAACGTTTACTCTCTGAACAACATAAAGACCCAGATATCATTCAACTTAGTAAGAGGGCACTTCCACCAGAAGAGGCTACTAAAGTTGGAGAATGCTTCTATATGAAAGATGGCATCCTTATGCGAAAATGGCGACCACCTGACGCCTCCTCCAGATGAAGTGTGGCGTGTTGTTCACCAGATAGTGGTCCCAGCTGCTTATCGTCGAGATGTCATGAGCTTAGCTCACGATACACCTATGGCTGGTCATTTAGGTATCAATAAGACTTATAATAGGATATTGAGTCATTTTATTGGCCTAAGCTAAGAAAGGATGTTTCGAAGTTTTGCAAGTCATGCCATGTTTGTCAGATGGTAGGTAAACCGAATCAGAAGATATCATCCGCCCCTCTCCAACCAATTCCAGTTTTTGAAGAACCGTTTAGTCGAGTGTTGGTGGATTGTGTAGGACCTTTGCCTAGGACTAGATCTGGGAACCAGTATTTACTTATCATTATGTGTACATCCACTCGATTTCCTGAAGCCATACCTCTTAGGAATATAAAGGCAAAGAGCGTAGTTAAGGCCCTAACCAAGTTTTTCAGTTTTGTAGGAGCACCCAAGGCAATTCAGTCGGATCAAGGCTCAAATTTTATGTCGGGGTTGTTCCAGCAAGTCATGCATGAGTTGGGTATAAGGCAATATAGATCAACTGCTTATTATCCTGAGTCCCAGGGGGCGCTAGAACGTTTTCACCAGACCTTAAAAACAATGCTGAAGACCTATTGTTATCAGTATGAGAAAGACTGGGATGAAGGGGTTCATCTTGTGCTATTTGCTGCACGAGAAGCAGTCCAGGAGTCTCTTGGGTTCAGTCCTTTTGAATTGGTGTTTGGTCATACAGTTAGAGGACCTTTGAAATTGTTGAAGGAAAAGTGGCTGACTGAGACTAGTGATCTTAATCTTTTAGATTATGTGTCTGATTTCAAAGAAAAACTTTACAATGCTTGTAAATTAGCACAAGAAAATTTGAAGAGTTCTCAGATGAAAATGAAAATGTGGTATGACAAAGATGCCAGAAATAGGGTGTTTAAGCCAGGTGATAAGGTTCTTGTATTTTTACCTATTCCTGGTCATCCTTTACAGGCCAAATATTACGGCCCTTATGAAATTGAAAGCAAGATTAGTGATGTAAACTATGTAGTTAAGACACCAGGTCGACGTAAAGAGAAACGGGTTTGTCACATAAACATGTTGAAAAAGTATTTTGAAAGGTGTGACCGAAATTCTGTAAAACCAGTTTCCACTTTAGCCAATGCTAAGACTGTTCAAAATTGTATTGAAAGTGATACGAGTGTAGAAATGAATGAGAAAGATTGTAATCAGAGTGTTCGTTTGAAAAACTCAGAAATTTTGGCTGATTTTGATGCCAAACTTGGACATTTGAACATTCACCAAAAAGAAGAAGTTCAAAACTTGATGAATGAGTATCATCAAATCTTTTCGGATGTTCCAAAGAAAACTAATGCAGCTTGTCATGATGTCATAGTGAGTGACGTTCTGCCTATCAAACAACATCCGTACCGTCTGAATCCAATAAAATTGCAGTACCTAAGAAGGGAAGTGCAGTACATGTTGGACAATGACATTGTTGAACCTAGTAAAAGTGATTGGAGCTCACCGTGTATTCTTGTACCAAAACAGGACG